TCCAAGCACCAATGCTATGGCATGCATCAATGATATTCCAAGCACCAATGCAATGACATGCATCAATGATATTCCAAGCACCAATGCAACGACATGCATCAATGATATTCCAAGCACCAATGCTATGACGATATTCCAAGCACCAATGCAATGACATGATATTCCAAGCACCAATGCTATGACATGCATCAATGATATTCCAAGCACCAATGCAATGACATGCATCAATGATATTCCAAACACCAATGCTTTGACATGCATCAATGATATTCCAAGCACCAATGCAATGACATGCATCAATGATATTCAAAGCACCAATGCAATGACATGCATCAATGATATTCAAAGCACCAATGCAATGACATGCATCAATGATATTCCAAGCACCAATGCTTTGACATGCATCAATGATATTCCAAGCACCAATGCAATGACATGCATCAATGATATTCCAAGCACCAATGCTTTGACATGCATTAATGATATTATAAGCAGCAATGATAAATAGGAAGTTAAACTTATTGATGAGCAGACTGAAATCATGTCATTCAGTGCTTTTGTGCATTCGTTTTATTGAGCTAAAACATGTGAAACAGAGTGAAAAGGTGTCATACTTTACAGCTTATGTTACCCAGACAGGGCATCCCAACACACCTCATGGCAATTGTGAAGGATGTCCTATACTAGATGAGGAATTGAATCATATTCTAATCAGGAGACAAATTAAGCAACATTATAAAATTGAAAACAACAACATCCTATGAAGTAAGCAATAGATAGACTATAATAAATGTAGTATGCTTGAAGGCATATTCCCCCAGCTGGTAATTGAAGTCATCGCAACCCATAACGCCTTAAGATTGATGGAACTCTGCTATTACTACATATCAGAATTATGCAATAACTCAGCAAGTTAAGCACAAAGGGAAACATATGAAACATAGATTAAGGCAAATCACAAGCATGCAACTCTTTAGATATATAGTAAAACTTGTCAAGTGGAACAAATCTGTAAATGGAACATGTTACCTATTACTTAATGTAGAATGAATCTCTGTAACTGCAACACCTCTCTGCTCATGGTAAAGTAGAACACTATATTTTAGGTAAAGGTGTTTGTTACCCTGCATACAATAAACTATTGAAGGTGAAGCTCTCATTTTAGAAGCAAAATGAGTACAAAGGATAGGCATTTGGGAATTTTCCTCTTACACAAGTTTTACTATTTCCACAAGATTTAATCATAAGAACAATATAAAGTACTTAAAGTACTGACCAAAAATTTCAAAAAGCTTTAATGTCCAGTTTAACTTGGCTTATAACCCTGTTCATTTTTTCGTGAAGTGACTCAGTAAAATTACGATTTCTCTGCACCCTGATGTTCAATCAAGATTATTTGAGTATCTATGTGTTCCTAACATACTTGATGACATATGGTGGCATACATGATGACATCCCAATGCTAAGTCAATAGTCAATGGTATATATCCCTATGTTAAGTCTTGCAACCTTGCTTTCTTTTTTCTCTGAAGAAATCAAGTTGATCGAGTCTCAACAAGTTAATTCATATGAGATTAAGTATCGCTAGGAATCCATTTTCAAAAGTAAAAATAGGGGTTCCTAAACAGAACATTGGGCTTGGTTTCTATCAGAACTTTTTGTTGGATCTATTATGCCTTATTCATTATTTCAATGGAATTGACCGAGCAGACCCCTTATAATATAATAAGTGTCTGAGTTGATGAATTGACAGCTGAAATGTAACTTAAGATAAGTTCATTGTGTACGTATATTTAAAAAAATGATTGTCACAAGAAATCTCAGATTCATAAAGAATCATCTGTTTCATTTAGAGAGTTGCGAGACTGAGAGCTTTAAGGAGTATTAATTATCACAAGTGTAGCCCATGACAACTGATGGTGCTTTAGATCAATCAAAAATGATTCCAAAATCAATCAGAAGTGTAATTGACTCTAAGCCCCTTACGTACAGTCGATCTATATGAAGAGTAATCTCTTGCTTCGTTCAAACCAGTAACATATTAGTCCTTGGACAAATAGTAATTTGACATTATTGTAAATCAACAAAATGCCAAAATCAATCAGGATTGTCATTGTCTCCAGACCTTTTTGGATCTATATAAATACTTTGTATAGAGTTAAAGTATTTACTCTTTTATTTCTGGGGCGTAGCCAGGAGGGGTACGATTTTTTGGGTTTACACCACTGCAAGCGAAGCGAGTCCCAAAAAGGGGGATATAGGGGTTCACCCCCCAAATTTTTTTTTCAAATTTACAATATTGTATATGGTGCATTCTAAGCATTTCAAACTATAATTGCACCTATCTGGCTACGCCTATGTTCTTACACCAGATTATTGTATTATACATGCCAAGGAGACCGACAAATTTCGACGTAAACAGGGAGATGATAAATCATCTAAGACTTGCAACTAAAACAATATTTCATCTCGCAAAATTACAGAATCCTTAAGGTAGCTCTGCATGACGAGAATTTTCATGAGTACAATACCAATAATCAGTCACATATTTTTTCAAAATTTTGTATTTGCATGTTTAGGTAGAATACATGTTGTATACATAGTTCAAAATCAAAATATTTTGTTTACGTCTATTGAAATGACATTTCAAATCTTTTTTCCAGTTTTTTCTAAGTGCGCTAAACCACCTTAACAGGGTTACTTGAAAGTTAATCATGAATATTACCATCATTTATTACCATTTAGCAATGACAATTTGACACAGTTTTATTTCACCCGATGGAGTGACTATCCATTTGTAGAGAACAAAATCTCTAGTAATGTTTTTTTGTGATCCAGGGCTCTTCCCATATTGACATTTCAATGGTGCATTACCTCCAATTAAATCCTAAATCCTAGATTTGCCTTCAATAATTCATTGTGCCTCCAAGCACATTTCAAAAATCTTAAAATGTTGATCAAAATGTGCTAAAAGAATCCCCCACACACAAAACTCCTTTGTAGAGCACTGTTTCTGCTACATGAAATACTATAAATGTCAAAGTATCACTAATAGAATAACCCACCCTTTTCAAGAGCTCAAATATATATCTGCACTCTTAAGATAAGATAATTCTTTAAGATGATGATACAACATTTTCTGCCTATGACAGTGTGTCCCAACCTGTTTGCAAGCCACGACACTACGCTCTGCAACAAGATGGTTTGCCTTTCTCTAGCAAGATTTGCCAAGATATTTTTTTGTTTCTTATATTCGAACCCATTTCTTGTATCATAAAATCCATTGTATGAGTAACTTACATTCATTTCATCTGAGATTATTAAGATTTCAGCATTTAAACCAGAATGCAAACTATGTGGCTAAAACAGATTTTCAAGTTGAATAAAATTCTAAAAGACTGACTACCTGAATTGTAGGACTGAAAGCCCAATATTAGCAGTTCCCCGGAATGGTAAAGACAAGATATATTGAAAATATTCTAAAATGACTTCCAGAAAACAAAATGACCACCCAAAAGTTGATCAACTTTAGGAATTGGTACCCTCGAACATTTGGTTTTCCTGGAGTCGTTTTAATAAAAAATTTGGATGACAATCATCACAACGATCACAATCTCAACCTGCCACCATCATGACCTCTATATCCCACCAGTGGTGCGATAAAAAGATATGATAATCTGTGACTGCTTTAATTGAGCTAAATGAATACTATCATTAATAGATTGATATGAGGATTGTAATCTGTTTTACCATCTGTCTGGTTACACTTTGAATGTCTGGTTGGTGCCTTTGTCAGACAACCTGCCATTGTAAAACATAATGTTCTGGATCTTTTTAACGATGGTAGGTCATTATGACATTCATAGAAGAAAAATTAGAAGTATTTGTTCAACTTAATATCCAGTTCTATATTGGTGAAAAATTATTTTTAGAAAACTTCTTGAGATTTTCTTTTTTTCTAGCATTAAGTAGGCAGACAAGCATGATGTCAGATTGTTCCTTATTACAAGAGATACATAGAGGGGCATGAGAATGATGTATAAGCATAGATTTTTAACAATTGAAATGTTGAAGAAAGCTGAACTGCAAGTACAATGCATCTGGGATAGGGGGTCCAGAGACATGATCTGATGCAAGAATGGCCCAAGCATGTCATTATTAAATTATTAGGGAGGTTCAGCTACACGTTTTTAAGAACATGTCGAATTATGGTCTCCTAGGGATTAGTAATTACTTGTCTAATTGAGCAAAAGATATAAAGAAAATAGTTGTGGACAGTTATCCATGGGGATCATAATATTACAAGCTCACATACAAGTTCTCTTAAAATGTGTAGCTTAACCTCTGAGTATTACCTCACGTAATACCTGCTCTTTTATTAATGAGACTTTGGTGGGTGTAGTCTATTCAGGATGCAATACTAAGGAATGATGTAACTACTTCGAAATGAATAATTGGCTCAATTCTACTGATTATTTGGTACATCTCCAAAAGTTCAAGAGATACAGCAAAACCTTTCTGTATTTAGTTTGCAGTATACACACATATATATGAAGTATGTTAGTCTTATTTTAACAGGTGTGTCAGAACTATTAAACACATATTCTGCTTTGAATGAAATTTTGTATTTGTAATTGTTGATTTGCATTCAGCTCCTGTAACCTCCCAATTATCTGATTATGCCATGAGAATTAGGGTAGAGAGAATTGGGAGAGCTTTTGGGGTTCAATGAAAAACTAATAAATGGAAGGTTCCCATTAAGCATACTTGACAAAACCTGTCTAAATGGAACACCTTTGATACCTCTAAAAAGAGTTCTATTCATATAAAGTGTTCTACTCATAGAGGTTCATTTGACATGAACTCAGTTGGTCTTGGGACTCTAAAAAGTGTTCGAGTAACAGAGGTTTTCCATTTCTAGAAGTGCTCCACTTTACTGTCCTTAAATGTTGTATTTTTGTAACAATTATTCTGTATAGTGTTTATTTGTATATTTCCAGGTATTACCAGATAAGAACCTCATTAAAGACACCACCTAAATCCCCCATCAAGGTAGAAGTAAGCCAACCAAGGAATTCAGGTTTGTTTGTTTTGAACATCTTGCAAAACCTCACTTTACCTTAAACCCCCAGTGTATTAAATCACTCTAAGCTTTCGCTTTGACTTCCAAGTTTTTCTTCTTTTTTCTTAACTTTATTGACCTCCAACTTCAATGAAGTTGAAGTAACTGAAACGTTGAAAATGAAGAAGTTTACCCATTTCCATACTATAACTGAACCTCAAATATACTCTTAAATTATAAATCATTTTCTCTTCTAGCCTATAGCTAATCAGAATATGTAGTAAGAAAATCATAATGGTACATTAAAGCTGTAAAAATCCAAAGATATTTCATTTGAGATTATTCAGTTCCTGTTAATAAATAGTCAGAGGGCAATGTGACTCAGGTGAGAATCATCAATACACTTGGTGCTTCTAAAATATAATGCTGTCAGGGGCGTAGCCAGCAAATGTGAAGGGGTGTGTGTGATTTTTGGGGTTTGCATCACTGTGAGCAAAGCGAGCCCCAAAAAGGGAGGTACGAGGACATTTTTTAAAATTGACATTGTTTATGGTGCAATCTAAGCATTTTAAACTATAATTTGTTGATGCATTTTCAAAAAATTTTACAAAATTGCTTATTTTATATTTTTTGTGGGGGTTCGTGCTATCACACCCATCACACCCCCTGACTACGCCCATGGCTGTCAAGTAAGCCAGACCCAATGATTTGGCCAGATTCATATATTATGTCAGAGGCATCATTGACTTGTAAAAATAAATGTGTCTCTAACATAATGTAACAATGTGTAATTTCTCAAAATGTCAAGTAACAGCACTAAAACCATTACTGGCAGTTTGTTAGGCATTTATTTGTAATAAATTGCTTGCTTGTTCTATTGACCTTTGGTTCTAGATTGGTTCGTAAAATGTTTATTTGATGATATTTTGCACTTCAATTCCACATTAGCAAAATGAGATCTAAAGCACTGTGTAATGGAAATACATAAAAGATCAACTATTGATGAGCCAAGCAAAAGATAGAAATGTATTGGAACCTGCTTATAAAGAATATCATTGGATACATATTATTGATTACACCTTTTCGCTGCCAAATTGAATCGATTACATTATTTTTCCTAAATCTTACATTTTGTGATTTATTCATACTCTTTAAGAGCTTGTGTCTCAAGTCTCAAAAATAATTACCAGTCACATTTATGACCTGAATTTAAATGTTCCCATTAATTTTTATGCGTCTCTTGGTATTTTATTCATTGGTTGGAATGTACAACAGATTGAAAGAAATCATAAGTAAAAGAAATTGGGAAGATTGTCATACAGCATTCTGATACTCATAGCATCTTTCTGTTTCACCTCAGGGCTGAGAAGAAATGAGATGTCATGGATTATCATGATGGTCGTACAGTTCAATGTGGGTAGATTGAGGTAGAAAATATGGGTAGATTGAGGTAGAAAATATGGGTAGAATGAGGTAGAAAGTATGGGGTAGATTGAAATAGAAATATGGGTAGATTGAGGTAGAAAATATGGGTAGAATGAGGTAGAAAATATGGGTAGAATAAGGTAGAAAATATGGGTAGAATGAGGTAGAAAGTATGGGGTAGATTGAATTAGAAATATGGGTAGATTGAGGTAGGGTGAAGGATACATTAAAGTAGAATATATGAGAAAACCTTAGCAACAAATACCAAGAAATTGAATTCTTGACTGATTACATATTTTTCTCATTTTTAGAATGCAAACTTGTCTTCCCAGCATGCATCATCAATGGTGTAGCCGTGAGCAAAACTTTCCAGATTCTATACAGAAACGAAGATGTCACCGTAAACGATGTTATCATGTTCAAAGTACATATGCTGGTAGATGCTAATGAGGTATGTATTGTGTTGCCCTGGCCATGACAATAAGATATAACTGTCGTGTCCAATAACTGTGATGTCCAACAACTAGAGATCTAAGTAAGAAGAGCTGTCACTAGAGTTCCATCCCAGACAATGGCTGAAGATGGATATAATATGTCTATTATGAACTTCTCAGCCAGATGAATATTCCTTCAAGCCATTCATGTACTTATTATCAAAGATCCAGGTTTCATACATACAGGAGACCTTATTAAACCCCAATCTTAAGAGACTGTCAAGGTACATGATGAATCTGATTCAGAAACCCAGCTTTGGAAAAAGGAGAAAAGTATTTGCAAGTTATCTTATCGAAGTGACATTGCTTTTATCAAAGTATTATACACAATCTACCTTTATCTTATGTATGTAGATCTACTATTTGAAGCAAGAACAAATGGTCTTACATGTAAAAAGCATTATAGCCAGTCATGACATATAACAAATATCTGATCTATTTATCATCAGGAAATCTCAACAATATGAAAAATATATTCTCGTGTTAATTCCCTGATCATGTTCCCTGAAAATGTAGTGCATCTGACAGATTGATTCATTGGCTCTTCATTACTACGAGTAGGTTACCTTGTTCAACAGAGAAACCCACTCAAGGCATTTACCAGCTCCTGTGACATTCAATATGTATTATCATAATTTTTCATTTTTTAAGAGGAATGCTAATTAGTAATTAATATCCAATATGGTTATTACTCTAATGTAGAGATTCAACTTAGGAGGTGATATGTTATTTATGAAATCATTGCACTATCATATGGTGTTTATGAAATCATTGCACTATTATATGGTGTTTATGAAATCATTGCTCTATCATATGGTGTTTATGAAATGATTGCACTATCATATGGTGTTTATGAAATGATTGCACTATCATATGGTGTTTATGAAATGATTGCACTATCATATGGGGTGTTTGCCTGCTTGAGTTGGCAATAAATGTTCTCTGCAATTAGCCAATAAAGGCATAGACCAAAAAATCTCATCTATAGGCTCAGGTACTTCAAATGTGCCGTGAAATAAAACCAATTGTGGCAGTATTTGTCAGATTTGTTTGAATTGATTTGGAACTCATTTTAGATATTGAAAAATTATCACATCATCATGTAAGCTTTCAGTTTGAAGATGAATACTTTAAGCATGGCACACTGTCTAATGACACTTTTGGTAGAAGGTGACCTCTTTGAAAAATGGCTGCCATTTTTATGTTTTTATTATAACTCGAAAATTAGTGGAGCGATTTTGTTCATATTTGATATGTAAATACTAGAGCAATTTTGTTCATATTTATCCCACCGAACAGTTCGAGGGGGATATAGAGAAGCCGTCCGTCCGTCCGTCCGTCCGTGTGTCCGGGCGATAACTCCAATACCGGTTGACAGATTTGGTGCAAATTTTTTAGGCTTATGCCTTATGAGTGAAGGACCTCTGCTCGAGAAGGAATTTTCAATATGGCCATTTAATTCAAAATGGCCACCATTTTTCGTAGAAAATGTAATCGTTGATAACTCAAATACAAGCTGACGGATTTAGTTCAAATTTTATATGCTGATGCCTTATGACAAAGGAGTTTCGCACAAAAAGAGATTTTCAAGATGGCTGCTTAATTTCAAAATTTTTCGTAAAAATATGTAATCTTTGATAACTCAAATACCAGTGAACGGATTTGGTTCAAATTTTATATGCTGATGCCTAGGGACAGAGGAGTTTCGCACAAAAAGAGATTTTCAAGATGGCCACTTAATTTCAAAATTTTTCGTAAAAATATGTAATCTTTGATAACTCAAATACCAGTAAACGGATTTGGTTCAAATTTTATATGATGATGCTTAGGGACACAGTAGCTATGTTTGACAAAAAAATTTCAAGATGGCCGCTTAATTTCAAAATGGCAGCAATTTTTCGTAAAAAACAATCTTTGATAACTCAAATACCAGTGAACAGATTTGGTTGAAATTTTATATGATTATGCCTAGGGACACAGTAGCTCTGTTCAAGAAATAATTTTCAATATGGCGGCTGAATTTCAAGATGGCGGCCAATTTTTGTAAAAAACGTAATCTTTGATAACTCATATACCAGTGAAAGGATTTGGTTCAAATTTTGTATGATGATGCCTAGGGACACAGTTGCTATGTTCGACAAAGAATTTTCAAGATGGCCGCTTTATTTCAAAATGACGGCAATTTTTCATAAAAAAACATAATCTTTGATAACTCAAATACCAGTAAACGGATTTGGTTCAAATTTTATATGATGATGCCTAGGGACACAGTTGCTATGTTCGACAAAGAATTTTCAAGATGGCCGCTTGATTTCAAAATGACGGCAATTTTTCATAAAAAAAACATAATCTTTGATAACTCAAATACCAGTAAACGGATTTGGTTCAAATTTTATATGATGATGCCTAGGGACACAGTTGCTATGTTCGACAAAGAATTTTCAAGATGGCCACTTTATTTCAAAATGACGGCAATTTTTCGTTAAAAAAACATAATCTTTGATAACTCATATACCAGTGAACGGATTTGGTTCAAATTTTATATGATGATGCCTAGGGACACAGTTGCTATGTTCGACAAATAATTTTCAAGATGGCCGCTTTATTTCAAAATGACGGCAATTTTTTGTTAAAAAAACATAATCTTTGATAACTCAAATTAGTGAACGGATTTGGTTCAAATTTTATATGATGATGGCTAGGGATACAGTTGCTTTGTTCAAAAATGAATTTTCAAGATGGCCACTGAATTTCAAAATGGTGGCCATTTTTCGTAAAAAAACCCATAAAATTTTAATAACTCTAATACCAGCGAACGGATTTGTTTTTAATTTTATATGACAATGCCTAGGGACACAGTAGCTCTGTTCGAGGAAGTATTTTCAAAATGGCAGCTGAATTTCTAAATGGTTTCCATTTTTCTTAAAAAAACGTTATCTTTGATAACTCAAATACCAATGGACGGATTGATTTCAAATTTTATATGCTGATGCCTAGACACAAAGGAGCTTTGCTTAAGAAGACATTTCCAAGGTGGCCCCTGATTTCAAAATGGCCACCATTTTTGGTAAAAAAAACGTAATATTTGATAACTCAACTACCAGTGGATGGATTTTGTTCAGATTTTATATTTAAAACATTTTTTGTTCGGTGGGATTTGCTACTCCTTGGAGTTGCTGTTTTCTAGTTGATATGTGAATACTCATAAACATGGCACACTGTCTAATGACATTTTGGCAAGTAGGCGGCCATTTTGAACATATGGATTTGCTACGCTTTGGCGTTGCTGTTGTCTAGTTCTCTATTATACAACCTTGCCAGGTAATTTGTGAATAGTGTTCATTTGATATAGTTTTCCCATAATAGAATACCAGTAAATTTTACCATTGTTATTAGGTATTCCTAGTATCATATTTCAAACTATTTGTTGATCATGTTACCCAACAAAGCAACAAGTAAATTTTCTCAGCATACCTTGGTATTTTTTAACATAAAAAAATATCTTTGGGTGAGAAACAACATGATAACCATCAATTTATCAAGGGAATTTATTTTTTATTATATAATGTATTAGCATATTTCCTTGTAACAGGTTTCATATTATTTGTATGACTGTGTTTATCCATGATGCTACATATCGGATACTCATTAGATAAACCGTGTGATGTATCTCTTTAAGGTCGTTGACTTGTGTACAATAGCTTACCAGGAAGAATGTTATAGTGCAATTACGCAGTTGCATGCATTCATTACTTACAGGCCAAGTACCATATTTATTGCAATTAATGTACAGTGGCATAGCTGTTGTTGAGACCCTGACAAATAAAAGTCTTTCCCTCATATTCATATCAGGATTCAGAAATTTTTTGATTCTGACCTTTTTCAGAAGCTTTACCAATTCATTTCACATTAGACATTTCTTATCTTTCCATGCCTTGCTCTATTTTAGGATAATACTTCCATTTCCAAGGTTATCAGTCAAAAATTGATAAATTTGACATTCACTTTTCAGTTCTAATGATTTTGTCATTTCTTAAATATATTTGATCTCAGTTTGTCTCAGTTTTTTTTCAGAAAATCAAATAAGGATTATAATAGAAACATGGGGCTGCTTTTTGTTAAAGATTGCTTCCAACGTTACACATTCCCTAGACCCTATCAGTCATGAATTACGTCAATATACCATGCAAACTTTTGGTAGACATTGCCATTCTTGGGTGCCCAGAATGATCTTGATTAGACATCATGGTGTGTAGAAATCATAATTTTACTGAGTGGCTCTAAAAAATAAAAAGGCAACCTTAAATCCTTAGAGTGAGAGTAGCTATTTGAGGAACCTGCCCATCGCCTTTGGATAAGAATACATGCTACAGCTACAATACTGATGTTTAGTGAATCATAGATAAAACACAACTTCCAATACTTGAGTAAGACCAAGAGTCTAATACAGTTAGACATGATTTGATTATCTTTAAGTTGGGGGTAAAATGGAGCAGTAACATTTCAGTGAGGCTTGATTTCCATATTTACCCCAGGGGAAGTTCATCATTTTCATTTTGATATATTGCTCATTCCTAGTTTATTCACGGTTTTATATTTGCTGGGCAAGAGGGGAATAATATAACCTCAAACTGTAGTATGATCCTAGATTCCACCCATGTGAAGATGAACTTCTTTCTTATTTTCCTACTGATGTCAATCATGTCATATCATCACTGATCGGTCAGAAAAATATTTATCATCATGTCATAACGAAATAAATAGGTGTTTCAGAATTTTTTAAACGCACTTCCAACAACATTATGTTAGTTACTCATGCATAATTAAGCAGTATTATCCAAGCCCGTATCATGCAGTTTTTCACCATTCTGAGCACTTTTCAAGTGATTATTTGACAATGTTGTCAAATGTGAACTCCCTGGATTTTTTGAAAAACGAACCTCCCTTTGCAAAAAGGGACGTCTTGTTAAAGAAAGATTTGAGAAATATTTGTCCATTGAAACATCACATCGATGTCACTATGTATAGTATTTAGATAATAGATAGTACATAAGAGGAAAGTGGTGTTTGGAATGCGAAACAAGTTCATGATTAACAGAATAGAGATTTTCTTGCCCAGATGTATTTTATTACTCTTGGCAATTCATAAAATATCTGTAAAAAAATCTAGTCTGTTATCAATTATAATCAGAGAGATGAACACTCGTAGAAATTCATATTTGATTACGATTTTGTTTTCAGATTGAGAAAAGTATAATGAGAGCTGAACTACTGCTATCTGTGGATCTCTGGTTTACGGATGAAGAGTTTGGGTGAGTTAGAGAATTAGACTTCTTCAGCACCATTTTATAATACTACTCATTCAACAAAGCCAGTTTGTATGGCCATTTACCCCCTCCCCCAGTATACAGTCCTACCTAGATTGGATACAATTATTGGAGAAGGAGGCATCATAGGGCCGTTACAAGACTCAAACGAAGATTACTTTTTCAAAATGAATTCTTTGATGTAACTATAATATGGAATAATGAACTATAACTTCTTTGTAGTAATTCCATCAATAGTTCCATGTAACAGATTAACAATGACATCCGATGCTGTAGTATTTACATATGACAACTAACATTTACACTGGCTCATCCTGTTATCCATTGATTTACTTTGCTCTTTGACACACCTGTATGCTTTAACATAGAGCAGATACTCTGTTGGAATCAATAGACACATTAACCAATCAGTCTCATTGATCTACTTGCAAGTGACTGAGTAGTTCTTCCTTGGTAAAATTGTCCTTTTTTGTAAACAATTTTTGTAAAATTGTGAGCCATTGTGGAATACTCCCTGCGGACCCAGCACTTTTTCTATTTGGCTGCTTTTGTCAATTATCTACTGTTCAGGACAACTATAAAATGTCAGAAATTGCTTTTTATGGTCAAAATTGATCATTCAAATATATAATGTTCATATCTTTTAAGCTGCCATCTTTAGATTTTTCAACATTTCTGACAGGAAGTGATGTCATTGATACTGTTTTCCTGGTTTAAAATACATACCAGTAGAAAAAATGAATTATTAATTACTCAGATGCGAGTATGTAGTTACCAGTTTCGACACCAAGTAGCGAATTCAGGGGAAATAACATGACAGCGTATTACAAAGTTCCCTAAAACTTGAATATTCATCATCAGTTTTAATGGTTCACTTTTCATATTACCCTTATGTATCTGATAGTTATACAAATTAAAATATGTCCAGTAAAAAAAAGTTATCTGTTTTATACAAGAAAAGATATTTCACTTTTTGTGATTTTACATCATGAGGTCTATGGGAATCTCCCCGACCTAAGAGTCACATTTTCAAAGAAAATTAATTTTTCAAAGTTGATAAACTCTTTTTAAAACCATGTTTTTTTAGAAGTAATTTTACATGTAGACTCTAAATATGACATCACTTTGACTGAATTTTTAATGTCTAAATCAAGATTTTTTCTTCTCCAGCTAGTCTATTGAACATTAATATAAGTATTGGTTCTTATTAAAGTCCTAAGTGTCAAAAAAGAAATGACCAAAACCAAGTTTCTACAGCTAAATTTTTGCTGCTTTCGTATACTTTTACAATTAAGTTTGAAGTTATGACTTCAAATTATGTCAAAGATATTTAAACCCTACATGTAATTGACATAAACATGGTCAATTTTGAATATTTTAGGACCATTTCTCATTTTTTTTACTTGGCAGTAGATAATAATAGGGTAATAACAACCAGATCAAGACAATATTGAAATTCCAAGGAGTATTCCTTTAAGGGCCTTTAAGGGAAGTATAATTCCTTCTTACTTCAGATTGTTGTATAATTAATGAAGAGCAGCTCTTGATCTTTCTATTATTTAGCTGTATGAGGCTTGTGTGACTTGAATTCACTAGTTGAGTAGGTTGAATGGCCAATGGTGCAAAATCATGCAAGCTGCAAGCATGCATTTTAGTAGCTGGGAAAGAACAAGAAGCTTTGACGATATGCGAAACCTGTGCTGCCCTTATTTCAAATGAGAGGGTCATGTTGTTAACATTTGCTGAAGCACTTCACCTTATATGATATGCCTATTATGTTGAGAATATCATGAGTCAGTAAATTAAGAAACAGGTTATTGTTAATTTGTAGCACACACCTTGATGAAAATAGAATGAAACTGGTATTTTGACCATTTATTGTGTCACCACCAAGAACTGGTGACATACATGATGTAATGTTATAGCCACCAGATTTTTGTGACCACTAGTTTTTTTGTTTTTTTTAAATTTTTTTAAATCTTGAATCTCTTTAAAATTTGTGACCACTAGTTGACATTTTGGCAATTTACAAGTTTGCAGTTACATTTTACATCTGTAACAACTGTTACACTTTTGTAACCATTTTCAATAACTTTGTCATGACATTTTGTCACGTTAGAACCTTGTTTAGAAATTATACTCAATGAAATATAAGTAAGTAGACAACTACAACCTGACGAGTGAGTGCAATGGATCCCTCGAGAGAATCAAACGAGAAATGTGCCATGTAAGACAATTAAAGAACAAATTACAAACCTATATGTTGTAAAAGGAAGTGTATTGCTGTATAACTAGCAGCAGATATGTTCCAGCATTGAGAAACCTACCAATTCTCTCCCGTATATAAATCACAATTAAGAAATTGAAAGCTCTTATTTTTTATGAATTAGCACTTATCTCCCATTATGGCATTAATGGAAGAATGGCGAAGTAGTTTGTGATTGTGGATACACTGTAATATCGTGTTAGTCCATGCTGATAATTATGAAAGTATTAGATAGAATGGTGCTTGAAAATGTAGACCAATAATAACATAACAATGGTTTAGTAGCATAACATAGACCCATAACCCATTACCGTACTAAATAGATTCATAGGCATGCTATATAAACCCAGATACTCTATATTAATAATGGTACTCACACTGGGAGTCTCAGAGTCACACTCCATAAATTCATATCTACATAACATAAACCCATCTCAGGACTATATAATTGTAGCCACACTACATTGAGTAACGCCACACTCCATTAAATCATAGCCACACTACATCAACCTTATCTCAGGACTATATAATTGTAGCCACACTACATTGAGTAACGCCACACTCCATTAAATCATAGCCACACTACATCAACCTTATCTCAGGACTATATAATTGTAGCCACACTACATGGAGTCACGCCACACTCCATAATATCATAGCCACACTACATCAACCCATCTCAGGACTATATAATTGTAGCCACACTACATGGAGTCATGCCACACTCCATAAAATCATAGCCACACTACATCAACCCATCTCAGAACTATATAATTGGAGCCACACTACATGGAGTCACACCACACTTCATTAAATCATAGCCACACTACATCAACCCATCTCAGGACTATATAATTGTAGCCACACTACATGGAGTCACGCCACACTCCATTAAATCATAGCCACACTACATCAACCCATCTCAGGACTATATAATTGTAGCCACACTACATAGAGTCACACCACACTCCATTAAATCATAGCCACACTACATCAACCAATCTCAACAAAAAATAATTGTACCCATACTGAATAGATACATATCAATACTATGTATGTGTTCATTGATATAAAATTCTTGTGCTAGGTACATAGCATTGTTTTAAACTTATACACTGTTTAAAACTTGTACTCTTATTCATGTAGGCTGGACCAGCAGGACAAGTTGCAATGTATCAGCCAGAGAACCATCAAGCTTCACTTCTCTCCAAGGAAAGGTCTGCACCATCATGTCCAGGTGTTATTTGATTACTTCCATCTGTGCTGTATCTGTGTCACCATTCATGGTACTCTTGTTGCTCTGCATCAGCCTTATATCAGGTAATGTGTTTATTTCTATGGTTTGTGGGGCTTCGGATCTTCTGCCTGTTTAATACCGTTGCTTGTATTTTTGAACTAGAAATGTTTAACAATGGTTGACTTGCTTGTGGTTTTTGACAATAATATATTTTTAGACATTTTTAAATATTTCCTTATACAGTAAAACCTGTTAAATGTGAACACGGCTGAAACTGCTTCAAGTGATCAAATTGAAGGGGGTGTTAACATTCAATGGCTTTACAATATGAGCGTTAATAGGGGAACTCCAATATTGTTGGGATTGTAAAGGACTGGTTCATTTTGAGTTATTCTGTATGCTCACATAAAGACTTTAAGTGCTCACATACAAGTTTTCTGTATCACTAATTCGTTGAAAAATTATTGGTTCTGGATATGCAGTGGAAACAAATTAGCTTTTGGCACATATATAACATTCTCTTCCAAGATTGGGAAGCCAAGATGACAATGTGGAAGAACATAAAATATTTATTTACTTTAATTTCCACGGATATTATTACCTATCCCTATTCCCTATGGATACAACCTATTTGTTTTCTTGATTAGAAAAGTGTGTAATTTACATCTGGTATCCAGGGTATGACACAATGATATAATTTAAGCATTTATGTAAGTAAGATATGCTCTGGATTACAGAGACTTATGGGAATAATTTTAAGCAATTCATTCTGGACCATGTTAAATTAACATTGTTAATATTAATACAGTGTCTAACAGTATGAATTTGACTGAACTAGTTCCTTGAGCTTCTCCATCCTCCATAGATCCATAACTTTCAGTTGATTCAAGGTAAACACTATACTTTACACAATGCCTTTAAACATGTAATTTATTCACCTGTCTTTTTCAAACAAGAAATATTGTTTCATTACAAGCCAGTCTATTAGCTATGAGTGTGAAGGCATCCATGAATAGATAATAAAGACATGAACAAGAAATATCAATTTATGGTTGCTTCCATCTTAATACTTCAAACAGAAAAATAATATCACTTTTCACTTCACTGAAAATAATCAAGTAGAGTTACCTCAATTCTTTGTTTTTATTCTGTAAAGCTCTAAAGCTGTAAATGGCCAACTGCACTGTTTGGAATTCAATCTCATATTTTATTAGGATTGGATCAATTTGAGCTTCTATGGGCTTTGATGTATAAAGCCCATGTAGTAAATGAAGCTGACACAGACTTGAAACATATTGGCAAATTATAGAGCATTGTAGTCCCCAATAGTAATAGGTTGGCAGTTTGCATCAAACTAGGCCAGATATTGTGAAACATTCATTCCCTATTGATAGTGAATGGATTGAAGAAGACAGTTTGGTCTTACTACCCCATCTGTGCCATTTATTTTGGTTCTACCATGGGCCCCTTTGACAGATGGTATGATTTTTTTAGAAATTGTAAAGGTAGCATATCAAAACACAACCTCACCATTGTTGTAGCTGATTTTTTATTTTTTATGACTTGATAATCGGGACATCAGTTGCTTCACCTGCCAGTCAAACAAAGTTATTATGAGGTAGATCCACATGATGAAACTTCCTCAAAAAGTTCCACTTTTTGTGTTTAACTACCTTATCATTCAGAAACTGCTTCAAAACAATCTACAGTCCTTCTTTCAGAAACATAACAATGTCCAATGTAAATGAATGAAGCTTCTGCTCAATCTTAGATATTTCCTGACCATGTGCATTTGACTGTTAAGTGTATTTACATTAATTAGATAATGGCTTTATGTTTCAAACAACTCCTGATAATTCATTAATAAATGGTTATTTGTGTTTCATGCAGCAATGATTTATGGAAGCCAAAAGAAGTGTAAGTAAAGCTCATTTTCCATTGATTTCCCTTAGGATAACCATGGCAACAATATTGTTAACTTTCCTTTGTAGAAATAGCTAACAATTATTCTTTGTTAGACATGTAGCAAAAGGGAAAAAGAAATATGTCTCAATGGGTGGGGGGCTTTCTAAGAAGAATATTCTCGAGCTGAGTACTGGAAAAAATTTTTAGTCAAAACAATCCAATGTAATTTTCTTTATGGCTGGTTTTGTTTGTTTGTAGCTCTAAATTGCATTAACATACCACAACTACAGTTTCCTAATCAAGTTCAATTTTGTGAATTTTGTTTCTTATCCCTGTTTTGTCTGATGTCCATTTTAGCCTGGTTTTAGTTCATATCTCTGATGTGACAGCTGTTCCACATGTGTCTTCTTTATACCTCTATGGTATGCACCAAACTGTTTACATTTCTGTTATATGCACCACACTGTTGTACACCTCTGTGATATGCACCACAGTGTTTTATACCTCTATGGTATGAACCAAACTGTTTACATATCTGTTATATGCACCACACTGTTGTACACCTCTGTGATATGCACCACAGTGTTTTATACCTCTATGGTATGCACCAAACTGTTTACATATCTGTTATATGCACCACACTGTTGTATACCTCTGTGATATGCACCACAGTGCTTTATACCTCTATGTTATGCACCAAACTGTTTACATATCTGTTATGTGCACCACACTGTTGTACACATATGTGATATGCACCACAGTGTTTTATACCTCTGTGGTATGTACCACATTGTTTTACACCTCCATGATATGTACCACACTGTTTTTCACGTCTGAGGTATGCACCACACTGTTTTACACCTCTATGGTATGTACCTGACTATTTTATACCTTTCTGTTATGCACCACACTGTTTTACACCTCTCTGTTATAGTCTATTATGCATGTATTAGAGTTAAATGTTCATAGTAACTAAGTAAGGTACTTCAGGGACTTTTAAAAATAAAAACTAACCCCATGTTACTTTAATAATGTATGTTGTAGAATAGACTATGTGCTTTGTGACTGTACCCAACTCTTATCCCGTTCCCGGACTATAGTCCTGCACTGATCGCATTCATTTGCCTGTACGATTACAACTTGGGAGAATTATCTACGCCCCTTACACTTAAGATACCTACCTCAATGCATTATAGAACTCAAGATGTAACTTCTAATATATTGGAACCGCCGATTGTCTAGGTATATTGGCAGAACGGGAACATTTTCTCTTTTTCATCGAGAGAGATTCCATCACTTTTCAAAATGGCGGTTGGATTTAAAAGGGGAATCCCCCGTTTGGCTGTCCCGGATGTAGCCCGGAAGTACCAATATGGAGGAATTTGACGGTTGAAATAAGTTAAATGTTACACGCAAATATTGCGATCAAAAACGAAAATGTCTTCGTTCTGCAGATAAACCCAGACAATTGTGGATTCAACTACACGAAAAGAAATCTAAATTACCAAGGAATCTATTGAAGTAGGTATCTGAAGTGTAAGATCAGTAAAAAATTCTCCCATGTTGTAATCGCACAGGCAAAAGATTGAGATGTTCACAGGACCATAGTCCGGGAACGGGATAACCCAACTCATCTTCAAGACACAAATTCATAGACCTTAGAGGCTTTATCAATATCTTGTTTGGATCACTCGTCATGCTATGATGTGATCTATTCCATTGTATTACATTTGCCTTTAAAAATTGATGTGTAAAATTTAACTTCATTGAGCATTCATTCTTTTTTATATATACTTGTACAAATAATCACCAAGACAATACAAGTAAATGGCATCACAGATACTTACCCATTCATATGATATATTAAATTATAATTTTACTCATGCCATGTATTTTATAATTTCAGTCCAAAGCAACCAAAGTCTGCCTGGGCCAACAAGGCAGAGAATTCAACGCTTGAATCTGTTCTTTTTGGAAACAAAGCTACATCAGCTGGGGTATGCAAAATAGTAATAATTTCTGTACCTATAACAATAATTATTACCAATGTTTTATAGCAAACAAGTCACATTGTCCTGTTTATGTTTGTCATACTATATCCTATTAATATAAACATTTTAAAATCTAATTCAAAACAGATATGAACTCTTCTAGGAGAAACCAACATCAGTATACATAAAACTAAAATCATTCAGTCATGTTTCTACAATCTGTTTGATTGACAGGTCTATTTTTGCATTGCCCATATATGGGTGAAATCTTTGACTTGTGGTATAACTTCAAGGTCAAGCTGTTCTGGTCACTCTTTAAGGCAATTTATGAAACAGATTTTACACAGAAAATTGACATTTTAGTCCTTAATTTCTCATAGAATAAAGTATTTTTAGAAAAAGTGCTCTTTGAAAAAGTTCTTAGATATCAAACATCTATTGATTTAAGAACTTTTTGTCATAAATTAAAAATTAAAAATGAATTGAGAAGGATTTTATAGCTATTTTGTCATAGAATAAAGTGATGAGTATAAAGGTATTATATGGAATATTATTTAATTTTAGACTACATTTTCGCGACTCCAATATGCATACAAGATACACAGGAATGTCTGTCACATGCTGTTGTCAGCCTATGAGAGTTTACAAACATCCTATGCAACACTCATTGAAAAATTACCTAAAAGACAGCAAATTAAGCTTGGTAGGTGCAAATGCGTGCTTATGTGAAGGAATGAGGCAGGTCTAAAATGTAAAGCTATAGTATAGTAGTCTCTTAAGATGAAAAGATGAACTTACCCCATATGTTTCAGTTTTTCCTAGATTTTCCCCTATAGACTCTGTTAATATCTTGGGAATTTTCTCTCCACTTTGTTTTATCAAAATATCAATTTACTTAATTGAAAATTAATAGTATACAGGATAGCTTTATTCTTGAAGGCAATACTGATCCTTTAGGCATTAACATTTGCCTCAATTCTGAATCGTCTATTCCTTGAGGGTCCACACTTGCACTTATGAATTTGAATGTTGATATTTCAGCGCATGTAGACTGCCATGCTAAATTAGAGATGATGTCAGAATTAATACAGGTAAGACCTTTGCTCCAACCCCTATTTCATATATAAGACATTAAATTTTGATTTTAAGATATTGCAAAAACTGAGAATGCTGTATGTTTAAACAATGTTGCTTATCATGTTTTATGATGTTGATTATTGTATGTTTAAACAATGTTGAATATTGTGTTTAACAATGTTGATTATTCTGTGTTTTATAATATTAATTATTGTTTGTTCTAAACAATGTTGATTATTACATGTTTAAACTTTGTTGATTATTATATGTTTAACAATATTAATTATTGTATGTTCAAACAATATTGATTATTGTATGTTTGAACAATGTTGATTATAATGTACATGTATGTTCAAACAATGTTGATTATTGTATGTTTGAACAATGTTTATTATCATGTTATACAATTTAGATTATTGCATGTTTAAACAATGTTGATTATTGTATGTTTAAACAATGTTGATTGTTATGATAAACAATGTTGATTATTTTACATTTTCAGAGGCACAATACAGATGAAGATGTACTCCAGACTGCAACCAGTGATACATCAACATTGTGTGCTGAGAATGTGATATTGTGGTCCCAATACCTTGAGATTCTCTCCCTTAATGATTGCATCGCTAAACAGCTTGCTTCAGAGCATCACACTCAAAGAGTAAGCCTTGTCTTTCAGAGACATAACTATATATGATGAAAGTAGCTCCATGTGTATTTTTCTACATTTTGTAAAATAGTTTGACTGTAATTAAAAATTAAAATGTTAACTTAAAAAGGATGAAGCAATATTTATTACAAAACTGATTGACTGTACACTTAGTAATTTTTGATTTCAGATAAAGCGATTTTCAGAATCGTTTTTTACGCTAGAAACCTCAAAACACCAGATGTTGGCATGCTTTGAACCAAGGTACAAACATTTTCTTTTAAATAAATCATTGTACTAGATATGCTAAATAATAGTGGTTTATTGAGATGTTCTCAGAATATTCACACTTTCAACCATATTGAAAAGTATCCAGTCCTTAAAAACACCTCCAAAGAGATATTGCATTGGAAATGAAAAAATATATACAGCATAATTGAATAAATGATTTTTATAATTGTTTTTCAGTGTACATGGCCATACAGACTTAGCTGCCATTGTTAAGGCATCAGACTATTTCCAAAATTTACCGCCTCTTATAGCTGAGTGCGAGGAACTAGATGGAGATTCAGAAACTCTGCCAGTCATATTTGAGGATATTTATACGGACCTCACATCAAATGCAATAAGTAAGACTAATTATGAAAAATATTGGTGTCTCGGGTATATCAGAGATAGTTTATGATATGGTGTCATATTGTTAAAGCCAACTCTTTTGTTGTAACTGCCATTCAGTGTCAGAGTCTGTAACAAATTGTTACAATTTTGTAATTGCAAGTAGGTGACATTTTGTCAAGTTGATGCCTTGTTTCAACTTTATGTGCATCTGTTACTATATATATTTTAAAACATTGTAAATCTCTTTATTTTTGTATATTGCATAATATTTTATTTACCTTTCAGTAGTGTCCACCAGCGATACAGAAATTGGCAATTCCAAAGTACGATCAGATAGCATGAAATCAGATAGGACGCAGAAATCCACAGACAGTTCTAATTCGATTGGCACCAATTCATCAAGCCCAAAATCACATCGAAAATCCAAAGCAAAGAAAAAATTTATCAAAAATATGAAACCAGAAACATTAAAAAGGCCGTCATATTCATGTACCGAAGCTGAAAACCGATACAAGCCAGATAAAAAGGATGTGAATTTGGTTGGCTATCGTAAACTCAAATCAGATGATGATATTGTACCAGCCATGGCTGAGAATCCTATCCAATTAGGTACATTAGTGCAAGAAAAACCAAATGTAGGATTGTTTAAAAGACCATCGGATCCTACGCCTCATCGTAATGTGGAAAAATCGTTATCTGCAACAATTTTACAAGCAAGGACTTCTTTAGCAATTCACAGTGAATCCATGCCAGAGTTATCGGCAAATGTTCCAAAACATGCTATAAGATCCGAATATGCAATGGCCATGGAGAATCCCTTCAGTACATCTGACTCTTACCTAGTATCAGATGATAGCATTATCGGAGTTAAAAAATCTGACTTTACAGGCACACAATCCACTCAGTCTAGTCCAGGGGGCCCCACACATAGAAAACAATGTGATATTACAATGCATTCTAGCCCCTCACGGTCCAGCACCCGTAGCATTGATTCAAGGACTAGTGATGTCACAAAAAATACTGATAATAATGAGAAAAGTGCATATTCGCATCTAGCTGATGATATAACCAAAGCCTTAGCAGAGACTGATTCAGATGATCATTTAACATATGATGATGTCACAGATAATCACAGGTACGCTAGTCATAGTACGTTCACCTCAGGGATCGTTAGTGATGAGCAATCTAGTAGAGAGACACTCCCGGGAGATAGCACTCAGATGACGCCTGATGTGATAACAGGTAATTCATCCAACCCTAACCCCCAGGCAGATGCCATCGCTCATGTCACACCCACCCACTCAAGTACTGAAGACACGGGGGAAAATATGACAATATTTGAACTGCTTAAAGATGAATATGAACGATCAAAATCAACAAAGAAAAAAAGTCCAAGCCCTAGTGCTGATTCGCAGAGCTCAAAATCATCCCTATCCAATGGAGAAATGTACAATGTCCCTAATGGCTTCGACGGTCCTGTAGTAATGAGACATAAGAGTAGACTAGACCCAAGGGGTAGTCAACCTATTATCACCCAGCCCCAGACCAGGGTCCCAGGGGGGTCACGTATGCACCATTCCAAGTCCACACCTGAGCTAGGGGCACTGGCTGACTACAGGAAGAGACAGAGACTGGTGTCAGTTGTAGGAGATAAAACCATCAAGTATGTAAAACTCATGTACATGTATTATGGACTGATAAGGTGGCATTGATGAGTGTATTGTATTTAACTTAGACCCAGAAGCATATATTTTCAAATATTCTTGTATATACATACAGTTGTTTACATCATACACATACTGTATGTGTATATATTTATGTATTTAAGTATTAGTATTTAAGTTCTGCAATACTTTCCAGTTTCATAACTGCCAAGGAGGAGCTTCGCAATACACTTCAATATGGGGGTCACTTTTACAGTGATTTCCCCAGTGTGGCATCAACATTGCCATACCTTTGGCCAGCAGAGTCCCAGCAGAGCAAGGATGATGGGGTACATCTCATTGTATGTGTCCATGGCCTAGATGGTACGTATTTCTGTGTCTGATGTAATGCATCTTCCTCACACTTTATCTTTTTCTGTTATCCTTGATTTTATGGTAAAGACCTCTTTGATATTATGAGTGCATTCAAAATATTTTATATCATGATATTATAATATGATTACATGCAAGATTGCATATTGGTAGTGATGATTGAAAATGTTTTCAAAGTTTTCTGTTGAAAAAATTGGTATCAAATTTCTATATTTTTCTTGATGATTTGTACTGACTTATAAAAGGTAAATGAATCTTTGGTTCTCATATTGTAGGGAACTCCCAGGACCTAAGATTGATCAGGACATACCTTGAGATGACCCTACCAGGAGAAAGGATCGACTTTCTGATGTCCGAGAAAAATCAGGTATAATTGCTTAAGACAGACAGTGTCAGACGGTTTCAAAATCTTTTTTTTGTAATGTAATGTTGCATAGTATAAGATCTTACAATTCATTAGAACATGTTTGTAGTACTGTTACAGTATGAAATATTGATAAATAGATGGAAAATGATGAAAATGAAAATAGAGAAAATGTATTCCCTGGAATATAGCATTGGTGTGGGAAATGTTCAGGATGACAGACTCTTGAAAAAACTGTAAAGAAATTTAGGAATAAAGCTCAGAATTATATTTTATTTTTATGTATTTCAGCCAGATACATTTTCTGACTTTGACACAATGACTGACAAACTTGTGTCTGAGATACTCTACTATATCGACATGTATGGAATCAACCCTACTAGGTTAAGGTATGTCGATATCCTACAAATTGTGTGTTTATTTAGTGATTTCAAACTGGTCATCCTAAACCCTTGTTTTTCTGGAAAAGTCATTTTCTATCAAAATATCATTTTAGGATAAATCTTCAAGTAAAATGATCAATATAAAAATGAAATGCCTGTATTGTTGCAATTTTACATTCCAACAAGTCTTGATCATACTGTATATATTGAAAAATACTATTTTGTTTCCAGTTTTGTTGGTCATTCTCTTGGGAACATCATCATCAGATCTGCTCTGTCTAAGCCTCAGCTAGCCCACCTTGTGCCTCGTCTCTACACGTATCTCTCCCTTTCTGGACCTCATCTTGGCAATCTCTATAACAACAGTGGACTCGTCAATATGGGTAAGGATAATATTTTTCAATAATATGTGTAGGATATCCATGATTTTGAGTGATGTCATATTTTCCACAAGTTGATATCTGGATGAGTGAATGTAGTGAATGAGTGCAGATGTATATATCAATATATTCCTATATTGCAGGTTGACATATTTGAATCTTTCAATTAGTGAAACCTCCCAATTAACAAATATCTGAAAGTAAATTTCAGAAATTCAAATACCTGTTACAGATTTCAAAGGGCTTATATACATGTAGAATTCACTGGTCTACCTGATCAGGAAATGTTTCCACATTTGCTTGTAGGAATGTGGTTTATGCAGAAGTGGAAAAAATCTGGTTCCTTGCTCCAACTTTCATTGAAAGATCACTCAGACATCAGACAATCCTTCCTCTATAAACTCAGTCTCAAGCCAGGTAAGATATCTCTCCTCACAAATACCCTGGTTTGCCATCAGCTTAACTCAATACCCTCTTATTTCTACAAATGATTCAACAGTTTTGATGCTTATTGATCTCAAATATTGTTTTCATTTTCTTTGAATAGAGTTTGAATTTGAAAGGAATGTCATCGTAGAAAATGGGTGAAACTAGGTGCCTAATATCAATTACAGTGTCTAGTTTAGATAAATATCTCAAATTTTTAAATATCATAGTTGAATCAACCTCAAATTATTAAAGGGTAATCAAATGTTTATGTTTTTCACTTTCACTCTGATCAACTATTACTTCTCATTTATCAAAGTGTTTTGAATTATGTTTCAGGTCTGGAATACTTCAAGCATGTTCTCCTCGTAGGGTCAACTCAGGATCGTTATGTGCCGTTCCACTCTACACGCATAGAACTGTGTCGCTCAGCTATCAAAGATAACTCAGTATTTGGTAATACAACATTAATACTTCATTTCTGATATTTGAACAGAATTAAAGAATGTATTATGTTAATATAAGTGTTTAAAACAAACAAATTGTTTGAGATTACAAATGTTCGATTTATTTCAAAATCTTCTTCAGGTAAACAGTTTTAAACCAAACAGGTCAAAGAAAAATCAAAGAAAATAATCTTATTGAGTTTAAACAGAATACGAATTAAATTAAATACTAATTTTCTAAAATTATGTTTCAGGGGCTGTATATTCAGAGATGGTCACGAATATCCTCCAACCAATACTAATGCAGCCAGATTGCAAACTCATCCGTTACGATGTTTTCCACGCTCTGCCAAATACTGCAAACAGCTTGATAGGACGAGCGGCGCATATCGCTGTCTTAGATTCAGAAATATTCATTGAGAAATTCATCACTGTATGTGGGCTCAAGTACTTCAGATAATACTTAGTGTCTTGGATATGTTATACCAGAAAGTCTTTCAATTGTATATATTATATGAGATTACTGTCATGCATCAGCTGAAAGGACATCTATATATTCGGATGTAGATATTTTCAAAGTCTAGAACACATTGAGATTAATACATAGATCTTGATATGTTTTTATGACACGTTGACTGTTTATCTTTGTTACTTAGAGACAAACTTCGATATATCTCATGATATGGGGCCAGTCTTTAGATTTAAAGAAAATTACAGAATCAAATATTTAGATAATAAATTTAATGTTTGCTTTTGGAAAGACAATAATACCCTGGATCTGGTTGTTAAATATGAAGTGCTTTTATTTCATTGATGATTGTAAAAGTATTCTTGTGACAGTTGTCGAGTGTGTTTTAAATGTACCGGTCCACCTCTTTACAATATACTGTATAAGTGGTATTTAATCTGAGTGGTTAATTTGCGGAATGCTCAAATTTTATCACTTTCCTAATTCTAATTTTCCTAATGACAAGAAAAACTTTCTATTGGATAACATAACATTATGAAGACAATATTTCCGACATTTAATTTTCCGAGCCTGGCAAAAATTAGGCAATAGGCAAATTAAATGATCAGGCAAAATTACCACTTATACAGTATTGTTAGACCATGTTTGCAATTGATATAACCTTGGAGATCTATTAGGGCATATTGGAAGTCTCTTTTACAAATCACAGATTAAAATAATTAAATTAAGGTGGGCTTGGTCGAATGATTTTTTGCCACTTGCATATGAAATCAGTGTAAAAACCTCCATGTGAAAGGTTGATAAGATAGATACTCATTCTCTCGAGCCTATCTTGAATTAGTTTATGATTTGATCTCACTTTGCAGGTGTTTGAGTGCCTTCAAAGTGACTACCTCTATATTATCACAAATATATTTTTGCCTTCAGGTTTATTATTTGAAGGGCCATATACAGGGTTTCAAGAAGTAACTGAATTTTTGAGAAGATGTTGTGTTATTTTGTTATGTTTTCTGACATTGTCCTTATTGGCCATTGATTATAACGCGTTTAGAAGTAAATTGATTGCCAAAGTTCACTATTGGATGAAGGTTCCATCTTTACTATACTGTGGGAAGATATCACCTGTTCAAGGAGGAGAGACTATTACAATATGTTGCTATAATTCTCCTTTTCAACTGATTATAGTTTTGTAGTTTCTTTTGAGTAATGGCAACTTGTAGTTTCTTTTGAGTGATGGCAACATTTTCGACACTCTTTGTATATCTTTTCATTTGTGTACATGATTAAATGTTGGTTACATACTGAAATAAGTTGTGCATGACTACACAGGTTAGGGTCCATGGCTAAAGTATTGGTGTTCATGAAATATCAGACTGTAACATTATGTTGATGTACTCCACTATATGATGGTGTATTTGCATGTATGTTACAACATCTTGGTGTACTTTACTACATTTTGGTGTGCATTACTACACCTTAGTGTGCTTAACTACATCTTGGTGTACATAACAACATCTTGGTGTACGTAACAACATTGTGGTGCAATTAACTACATTGTGATGTACTTGACTACATCTTGGTGTAATCAACTACGTCTCTGTGAACTGAACTATCTTGAAGTAGTTGATTACACCTTTGTGTGCTTCACAACATCTTGGTGTACTTGACTACATCTTGGTGTACTTGACCACATCTTTATGTACAATATTTAGAAACTTAGATGCTTAAACAATGCTTTTCTTGAGCTACTTAAAGTGTACAATACGCATGATGTATGACAATGTGAATATAGAAAAATATATGCTTTTGAAAGGACAGAAACCTGAATATTTTTGTGATTAGAATTCCATATAATGGAATTATTGCATTGAGTGCAATAGCAGTGTGCTATATGTATACCAGTGTATATTACTAATAATTATTGACATATTTGTTTATATTTTTCACATTTAATGTGAATATTGACACATTAGGGGAGAATGCGTAATTCGAAATCGAAATATTTCCCTACCCAGTACCCTCCACCATCCTCGCTACAACCTTTTTAGCACACAGATAGTTATTGGGATCGTGGTCATGATCGTCACGCTTTTTTGTCATCGCAATTTCAGGAAAACCGCTCATCAGATTTTCTCCAAACTCACATACATGATAAAGGATGTCAAGTTCTAGACCTGAATATCTTTTGAGTGGCTATCTTGTTTTCTGGTGGCCATTTTGAAGGTTTTCAGTAAATCTTGTCATCACCATTTTAGGAAAACCGCTCATCGAATTTTCTCCAAATTCACTCACATGATAGAGGACATAAAGTTCTAGAGCTTATTAACTTTTGGGCGGGTATCTAGTTTTCTGGTTTCCAATTTAAAGAATTTTCGATGGTGTGATCTCGTTCAAGTCATGTGCCTTGTTGAAACTTAGCAAGGTGGTATCTAATATATCTAAAGGTCACATTTCCTGGAAAAAAATATGCCAAAGTCCATGATATATTTTTTGGGATCCTATCATTTTATATCAGGTTCAATTTAGGCCAGTATACAATTGCAAATATTTATTAATTTGTAAATATTACTGTATATTGTAGTTATAACTTTGTAATAAGAATGTGTAAATAAAAACTTGTAGATACTTATGCTCCATGTACTTAAAAATTAATAAACCGTATTGAATAGAAACGTGCATGTGTATACAACTGTAATAAAAACCAAAACAAATATTAATATTATGTTATCTGGGAACATTCTATCAAATGTATTTATATTCATCGATTGAATTATATTTCAACATGAAAATCTGCTAAAATGATTGAGTTTAAATATATGCATATGCTAAATAAGCTTAATGGTCACACATTAAGGCCAATCGTCAAGGCGAGCATATTTGAAAAGTGGACCCAGAAAAACTTTAGTGCTGAGTTTTTTTTAGAGATGTGTATCTGTAGCATCTAAGTATATTTTCTTGTGTTTAATAGGCCAACTGAGATATCATGTAACAAGACAATATACTATTGTGGCTAGAGCTTACAATACAAGATTTATAATACAGTAAACTGTAAAGGTATATTACTTATACAGCTATTTTTCCAATATAAGATAAGACTTTAAATGTGATTTTTTCACTAACAAGTGGTCATAGATTTGATAATACATGTAGATATTTCTTATATCTGACAAATTTGATCGTACAAACAAATTTATTCATCCATCACATTTGAAAATTTTATCAAAAATATTTTCGTCCTAAAGGAATAAAAATGCTGTAATATTTTATATGAAACGCTCTACTGTAACAATCCTTCAAATACAATGCTTAGCTGAAATAGGGTTTATCGTATTAGATGTCTCCTTGATTTGGGGAAATAAATTTTATCCACCCCTCAGAGCCTATACTATTACTTCAATAGATGGACACATACTCAAGCCAAAAGTCAAGGCATTGCCAAATGTCAGAAAAGTGTAAGATTTCAAGGCATCCAAATGTCAAGGTTGTATCAAATGTGTATCATAAATAAAAAGAAAATTTAGTTTCTAAATTAAAGTATCTGTCACTCCAAGTGTCACAAGTAGGTATTTTAATGTATATGAATGTATATAAGGAAAATATAGTTTAAGTTAAATTTAAATATGCGTCTTAATATAAGGTGTCCAACATGTAGATATGCATATTAACCATCACGAATAGATGTGTCAGTCAGTGATTATTTTTGCAGTTAAAATCATCGATTTTAAAGAAAAAAAAACTTATGAACGATTGTAACTCAGAATTGAATATAGAATATAAAGAAAGGTTACTAAAATCTAAATGATGCTTTTGTTTATAATACAATGTTCATTGTTTGTTATATTAAACAGCTGTTTATTGAACTACTGTACCCATTCACTGTCAGTTGAATAACCATTAAATATTGTACTTGTTAATTAAACTTTAATACCTAAAGTAACTTTGAACAATATCCAACTTAATTCTTCAGTCTTGTAGTGTTTTTATGTCATCACCAGAAGACATATTGTTGTATTCTCCAACCATTTTCTGAATGGTGTTTGCATTTGGCGATTGGTGTTTGCCAGTTGGCATTTGTAACAAATGGCAGGTTGTGACATTTTGCATGTTAATACCTTGTTTTGAAGAGTTGATAATGTATTTATAGTTCTTGGTTCCATACTTTGTAAACATGGAACTTTGATGTCTGAGGCTTCGCATTCAGTGGATTTACACACGCAAATTATAAATATTACAACGGCAAATAGAAACAAAACATTGCATGTTTGTAAAAAGATTATAGGGTATCGCTGTGCAATCTTATTGCAGTATGAACTACGGGGTTTTGATTAATAAAAGCTTTATAGAAAAGTATTTTTTCTCAGTGTATGACTTGATTAAACATTCTTCTGTGGCTGCAACATAACCAAGTGTTTCCTTCGGATAGCATGCCAGTCTAGTAGGCATGGCCACCTTTATTAAATTCTCTTAGGAAAGCGTGTCAGTAAGTCCTATATGAAAGCATGTCAGTAGGTCCTATAGGAAAGCATGTCAGTAGGTGTGAGCACACTAGTTTAGATTCCCTTATGATAGTATGTCACTTTGTAGTCTTTGTTAACTAGAGTTTTCTTATAACCTAGGGTGTTGAGTGCAGCTTTTACAGTGATTACTAGTTCTTTTATTGTCTTGTTTTGGATGATCAGAAGATGTTCATCTTTGGTGTTATTAGGTTGGTCAAGCCAGGAGACCATAAAACAGAACTATTCTTAGTCTTAGATGTCTAGAAGTGGGCTTTGTGGCTTGATGATTGGATGAGTCAAAGGAACAAAGAGTGATACTTGAGGTTATTTCGTGGAAATTACACTTCGTGAATTTAAGATACTGCTTATTAGGAATCTCACAAGTAATCTTTTTAAAACAATTTTCAGCTATGTGATTACTTTATTCCTGTATTGTGTGACAGTGGGTAGCTAGTACTAAACATTGTTTCTTTGTATGTCAGATCAATGTTTGGGATATTGGGGGTTTGTTTTCCTTTTGCTTGGTGGTGCTCTCCAATGTATATTTTCTTGCTCTGTTTTGTCTCTTTGGTCTTATGCTTTATTTATGTCATCATCATAAAGTCTCTTTGTGGACAGTGTTCAGTGGTTGGCCTTTGGTGTCTGTAACAAATGGCAGGTGGTGAAATTTTTCATGTTAATGCCTTCTTTATATATGTATTTGACATATAAGTCCTTATCCCTGAGATTTCTGCCATATTCTTGCATTAAACATGTTCCAATACATTTATACATACAGTGTACAACTGCACATTACATGGACTGTATACTAATATTGTGTTTCAAAGAAAGAAGTCACTCAAATGTCGCCTCCCAGGTGATTGTTATTGCATCGTGTCTTCAATAAATTGCCCCATTGTTATTTAGTCAATCAGATGCCATCCCTGCTGTTCCTAAGATCTTTCTTTGTAAGTTTCAGGTTTCATCAAAATTGTCACGTTTTGTTTGATATGGAAAACACGAGTCTGTATTTGTCTCCAGTAGAAATGCTAACGATTCAATATTACTAGTCTATAACTCTATACCAATACCATCGTAATCAAATTGTCGTTTATCATTTGGAAAGTAAATTA